TAAGCCTTTCAGGTTGTAGAGCTTAGTTAAGTATCTGCGATTTGTCTATGCAAGTTGATATCAGCTTAAATAAATCTGTATTATAGGAACAGAAAAGTGATGAAGCTATTCCATTTTTATTTGAGTTTCTAGCAACACAAACTGAAATGAAATTGAAGTTCCTCATTTACACAACAGGAATGTCCTTAGCACAGTGTTCCTTAGCATACTTTTAAGGACAACTCCTTGAAGGAATACTCTTAAAGGATGAATTTTGAAATAAAATAGTAGGAGAATTAATAAAGTACTCAAACAAGTTTTGAATTAACATTAATTAATAGTATTGATTGAAATGAGGCTGACATTTTGCTGTGCAAGGTAGTGAACACCTAATGAAAATGTCGATCCAAATGCAGGTCTGAGCCAATGTTCAGATGGCAGGAAGTATGGTAATTTAAAATGACAAAATTCCTAAGGTTGTTTTCAGCCAAACCAATATTTTTCAGGCTTCAAAGAAATTAGTATGAAAGATATAAATAGCTAAAGTTTCTAAATGGGCTTTAAATTAGGAGGATAAAGATTGAATTTGAAAAGTGGGTAGCCAAGATTATGCCAAATCAGAAAAATTATAAAACTCCTGTGAGCTATAAAGCAAGCAATTAAGGCATATGGGGATACTGCAGGGGAGCAAAGTTACGTTTTTGGTAATACACATAGCTCAGTTCCGTATTTCGAAAGTAACCAGTGGGGCCCCTAGAAATTGAAACAGTATTGCTGATCTGTTAGTGATGAACACATCCTAAAAACGGTGATAAATAAGAACTAGGTGGTGTAACTGGCATGTAATGGTGGTGGTGTAACTGGTGGTGTAACTTTCATCTTAATGAAAATCAATTTCTTTATAGTATGATTTTCTTCCAGAGTATGTTGTTATGACAAAAGGGTGTTACCAATATTGCAGTACTTTGTCTATTACAAAACCACTTGATCTTCTGTTTGCACAGTGAAGAAAAAATGGGTTAAGTTGCAGAATGTTGTAGGACGATTATTTAGGTTAATCCAAACTGAGAAGTAGCACCTGGAATCTTATGAAAGTTAAACAAGCTACAAATAGAATTTATAGAGGCAAATTTTGCAACTGTAAAAGGATAATAAATGATGTTGCAAGAAGTAGCTTGAAGTACTGCTGAAATGTAAATGACCTATAACAATTCTAGAGTTATCTTCCAACCTAAATAATTCCATGATTCTCTGATCAAATATCAAAGTTGGACCTGCACTGATCAGGGAATTGGACCCTATTGAACTACCTGATTGAATCACCTGATAGTGATTTGAGCTACCAACATAAGAAAAGGATACAGGCATTAGTATAGATAATTGTTACCTTTTATGGCTTATCTGCGATTTAACAAAATACAGCTGGGAAGGGCAAGTACTGAAGTATTTTAAAATTTAGAGAATACATAGCTAAAAACTGAAGAAATTTGTGGATAAAAAGATTATTCTGTATTTTTAACCTGACTTTACTTACCTTCAGTTGAACAGCTACAATTCATATTGATCAAGCATGTGACAACATTTCTGTAATGCATATTTTTGCTTATCAATCTTAGTGACCTTTGGTTATATACTTACCATTGATTTTGATTGCAGTTTATTTCTAAGTCAACTAAGACAATATCCTGCTATCCAAAATTTCCAGGAAAGTTTTTTTTTTTTAAACTATGGCTATTGAAAGTAGGACAAGATCATTGATTATTAGGAATCTTTCAGTGAACACTGGGAGGGGGGAAAATGTGATCAGTAGCGTAAAAAAGGGTTTTACTTGGCTCTATGGCTGTTGCAGAGTTGTGTACGACTTCAGGTTAGTAAAGAGTTACTCTTTGCTGGTTTTGTCTACAACAAAAGGAAACAGTTGCTGTAAGTTTTCCTTTTACTGCATCTGCTATCTCATACGTTTTAAAGTGAGTGAAGACTAATAGGAAGAGTTTTTTTCATTGTTCAGAATTACATAAAAGGTAGTAAAAACTAGAAAGCTGTCAAAGTTTCCTAGAATTGTTCACACATCTGCATCTATTAGACAGATGTTCTAATCAGTGATGTAAAATGGCTGTGCTTTATGAGAAGTTTGAATGTTGACAGTTTACATAAAATTAGAAGTGGGCAAGGTGTGTAAATCTACTTAATGCAAACAAAGTAGAACATTGTTAAAAACAGTGTTGACCATCTTGATTTTTTTTAAAAAAATTACATGTGTTGTCTCAGAACAACACTCTGTGTGTCAGAATTACTTTGTCAACAATTAGTAGCTGGCAAAGTTCCTGAGGCACGAGGGGCTTCTGTAACCATTTCAAAACTTCTAACTATAATGACATTTTATGACTTTCCATTTGTTACCCATACTTTCAGTAATAGTCCCCTTGTTGGGTCTCATATGGTGTAGTTTTACAAAGTAAGGAACTCTTAATCTTCTCTGTGAAATAAACATATGAGATTTTCGTGTTTTCAAAAGTAGTTTCCCATATCTCAAAGTGCACCCATAAACACTTGACCTAGTAGCAAATTTTGCACAACCAAATTGTTTGGTTTGCCTTAATGAAATAAATTTTGTTTGTTTCTGATTTTGATTCACAGCAACTCTTGCAACTTCATTATTATTCGAACAACATATCACAATTGAAAGATGAAATCTGTTTGGAGGTTTTTTTTGTTCTCTACAGTCACCTTTGGTATTCTTGTGATTTTGGCTTAATCTAGTTTGCTGTATGCCAAGAGCTTTCCTAGTTATTGCTGGCTATATATTGCTGCTATCTCATTTTCTTCAAAACCTTAAGACAGCCCAGGGAAATTTTTAGAAACACACTTTTATCCTTTGAATAGTATGAAATGATGTATTATGGGTGCTTTTCAAGGTCACAATGCCAAATATTGGGTCAGATTGCTCTATCGGCTTTATCATTAGCAAGACTTTACAAGTGACTGTCTTTACACAACAACATTTTTTTTCAATGATAGAATGAAATTTAAACACTTGTCATTGATACCATACTTCTTAAAAAAATTTAAAAATCACCTTTTCATATGCACCTTAGCATCTTAGCTTTTTCTCCTCAGGAGAATCTCAATGCATTTCCGACTAATTTCAGATTGGAGTATTTTCCTTCTTATCTTGGCTAAGATTGCTATTGCTTCTTTTGTCACCCTC